CTCAGGCTGCGAGACCTTCCCAATTCAACATGGTAAGGTTTGAGAGGGGTGGGGTACAGCACACCAAGAGATATAGAGGCATGCCAATGTGCACGGGCCCAGCTGCCTACACCGTTTAAGTCCTTGCGTGCCTGAGCAGGAATTACGTACACAAGACTTTCACAACCCAAAAAACAGCCAATATTTGAAGGTTTCTGGGTAGTTCACCAGCAATTCATATTCCAGCCCAACAAAGTCCAAGCTCAATAAAGAGGTACCCATACTGGTGTGAGAGGGCCCTTTACAGAGGTTCTGTGATGGGTCCTCTTTCACATTGGTGGGACCCTGAAGTGTTATCTGGTTGTCAACACTAACAGTGGTTGTCACTGGGTGACAGTCACCATTTAAATGTCCCACAATACCCCTCCTGTAGAAGACCCAAGTATCTAGTCTGGAGCCTGAGACAGATACGGACCTTGTCAGAGTGCTGAGTCCCCAAGAGCAGTCTGACCGTGCTGGCTGTTGATGATAAACCTGATCAGCACACAGACACAAACTTTCTTCCCTGCCTTCTTCCACTTCCGGAAGAACTGGTCTGCCTATCCAGACTGTAGGCAGACCAGCCCTTAAATCTGCACTTCTATGAAAAAATAACACATACTACAGTGATGTACTAATGTATGTCTGGGATGCTCTTCATGAAGCATTCAATTACACTGTTGCATTAAATGTAATTTAGAAGCTCTGATGAGCTTCACATGCTGTGCACCTTGTTTGGCAGATGCCCTTGAAGCATCCGTGACAGAGCCGCACTGCGGATGTCAGTCCGCTCCAGTGGTGCACAGCGTGGTCCGTGCTCCAGTAGAGCCAACCCCCGCTGTGAGAGCCAGCTGCCCAGCAATCTCAAACACGGCCATTGCATCCTAGTGGTTTTATTCTTTGCAAAATATACTTAATGCAACAGTGTTTGGATACCCCCAAATCTGTGTACAATCCTAAGTGCCATTTTTATTTATATATTACTTTAGTTCATCATCAGCTAAGAGGCTTTGTTTCAGGCACTTGGCCACACAGCAGCGCCATTCGAGTGTGAGCCAGATGTTGCTAACGGTGTCATCTTGATCATGCTTATCCAGGACTAAGTCCTGTTAAGCTGTATGGGCAAGTCACCACAATGGGTTGCACTAAGTGCCAAGCAACCAAGATGATGAGTGCAACAACTAAAGGGGGTTATTGTGCACGGGGTATCGTGGTTGCTTTTCTTCCTCCCCACCTCCTTCCTTCTCATTCCTCCTAGTGCTGTCCCAGGGGACACAGGGGGAGAATGGGATGGTGTAACGGGGTGTCCTGCAACAGCACGGGGTTGGCCCTGATGGACTTCTAGCCCCTTCCAACTCTACTGTCCTGTGAGTAGATTGAGGCTCCTCTCTTGAGCAACCCTGATCAAGAATGGCTTGCTGCGGCTGCCAGCCAGCCCCTCCTGTGACTGCTGAAGTGCAGCAAGGAGCATGGGGGAGCTGATCAGGCACCCGTGCCGCCTGGCCCAGAGCACTGGGAAGTGGCAATCAGATGGGTGGTGCTGCCAGCACCCCTTGGCTGATCCTCCTACCCCTGCCCGGGAGCCAAGAACTGGGGGTGAGGGGAGAAGAATCAGTCGGGTGACACTGCCAAGAGCTGGGCAGCTGACAGCTGCACTCTCTTTCTAAGTGGCTCTCCTTTCTGGGGATTTCTCTGCGGTGGGTCCTGTTGTCTGATGGCAGCACAAGCCATCATGGTAGGCAGAAACCCTTGCAGAGACTGCTGCTTCTTATCTTGGTTCTCAAGTATTATAGGTCACAAAGGAAAATCACTACAACTGGGTTTAGACAAAAGAAACAAAGAATTGTTGATATCAGTCTGGAGTTGCTTGTTATGCAGTGTGGACTCATTCAAGGAGCACATGTAGCTTTAGGCTGTAACTGTATCCACTCTTTCCTGGACTTGAGTTTCACTGAACAGAACAGAACTCACTTCCCAGTAAACAAATACCACATGTTGCTCACCCCCTATGATGATGTCCTTTTCAGGTTCATGGGGATGATGGGGGTAGCTCCCAGGTTCAGTAGCTTTGTAACAAGAATCAGACATACACTGAATAAGAACCATGAGATGGCTAAGCTAAACTGACATGTTCAGAGGCAGCGTATGTCTTGGATATCAGATGCTGAGAGCAAACAGCTGAATGTTGCCCATTTAGTACCATGCTAGAGAGTTTTCTCTTGTTCTTGCAAGTGTTGGAAGATGCATGCTCTGGATTAGAATTCCAGGAAAGAAGGTGGAATGGAGAAACTTAGCTGCACCTAAGTCATGTTGAAAATCGTTTCAGTGGGTCTTAGGTGCTAATAACTTTCCCTGCACAAGGGTTGCTCAGTTTATATTGTGAATTCACTTACATTGTCTCTAAGATTTCCTTTATTCTCCAAAGTACTGGAATTCTTTTCAATTATGGATGACATATATTTCATTTCTCTTCCCAGGTAATCAATAAAAACATGACCTACCAGACATATGACAAATGCCTTTCCATTTTTTAAAATTTGTAAGTCTTAATTATTAAGTTTTCTCTTTTAATATTGAGGCTGTAAAGATCAGATGAACACATTCACAAATCATTATCATTATCGTACAGGAATACATCATATATTGCAATGGATCACCACACAGTTTTAATAATGGGTCAGAGTGGGTTCTTCCCCAATACATGCAATTAAGTACATACAGCGGCCTGTGCCTAAAAGGGGACGCCAAGGAGGGAAGAGCGCACATCGTGGGCCATTTTCACAAGGAAGGGTGTAGGATGAGGCAGAAGTCATCCTTATAATGCTCTAGCTGCTTGATATGTGCTTATCCATGTGTACCAGTGTTACAACAATGAATGCAATAGTTCAGATATCCTGTATAAGATGCATTAAGAATTACAACTGTAAAGCACTGCAAACACTCTGGCTCATATTTCTCTACTTTATGGGACCATGACATGTGGAACCACACTCAGTCACCACAATCCATTGTGCATTTCTGTGCATTTAGGTACTATTGACACATTTGGGGCATAAGCATAACCTACTCCACGTTGGATTTGGCCATTACACATTTTAAGCACAAGTCTATGATTTTAAAAAACTGTGTTCACCTAACAATACGAACAGGACAAATATATCTTAAAAGCGTGTGGTTCATACTAGTCCACTCATCAGGCTGGGCGTTGTTTCTTTCTCTCAGTGGTCAGTCTGGTTTTGTGGGTTGACCCTCAGGTAGACTTTGCTCCTCTGTGTCTTTAGGTAATTGGTTGAACCTAAATGCATTCGTACATTCAGGCACTGCACATTCAACCTCGAACCAAGCCATTACAAACTATTACAAAACAGTTTCACTTCTCATTCCCCGCTCCCACACATGAAATGCTCCTCACATGTGACCCCTTTTCCCATAAGGCAAAACAAGATCCCTCTGCATTCTGAAGCTGAACGTTACAAACAGAGAAAGCCTACTGCTTCTCTCTTTGCTCCATTGCTTCCCCTTTCAACAAAGGTTGACTCCGCTAAGCTTAGAAATTCTTTTCCTAGTATCCCAGTATACATGACTGTTAAAAATAGTAGTCTTTAGTTCCTCTTGTACATAGCTATATATTATTAGTAGTAACCAAATAGTTTTTTTCCCTTGTTCATCAACTAACCACTTGCTGACAAATGTTTAGTTTCTGTTTCCATCAGTGGGTGCAACTGCACAGCTATTAACAGGAATTTATTAATACAACATTACTTGTTTATTTAACTAATGACTTGCTCTATAGCTTAGGCTTCCAGAATGAAACAAATAATAGGGTCAACGAAACAAAGATACAACCAGAATAAAATGTAGTGGCAAGAACACAATAAAAATCGATTCTAAACAGACAATAAAACAAGGCAAGATGAGTAAGATTTAAAATAATCACAGAGGTAAAACAGATAATAACAAAATAACAAAAAATAAATTTAGAGCCTAAGGGAATAAAATACAACTACAGCTAGGCAACAAAACATAGCATGTGCAAATGACTGAGAAAACAAAAGTGGCAAAAGATCAGCCTTGAAGTTGCCAGATGACCCTCTCTTAGGAGAACATCCAACAGTGGGAGGATGGGGGTCTGCCACTGAAAAGGCCTTCTGAGAAATAGCCGCCTGCAGAATCCTGCTATGCAGGGGCTCTTGGAGCAGCCACGTGATGATGACCTCAAGACATGGGTAGGCACACAGCAAGGTACATTAATAGGCACATTGCTGTTGTTATTAAATTTAATCACACCTCTTTTCTTCTTGCAAGGACTCTAAGGCAGCTTACAAGGGTTAGGGTTAGGGTAGGTATATTAATTGTGAGGTATATTATTGTCAGGTGTTGTTTTTTAAGGCAGTCCCATTACCTGATATGAACAGTTCTGTTCCATGTCTCCAGTGGATACTTCCATTATAATAAACCTGTAGTTTCCTAACAGATTGGCCATTTCATCCTTGGTTTTTCTTTACCAAATACCAGTTGTGAGGCAGACAATCCAGACTGAGATCGTGGCAGTCGAGATACAAATGGGTGCTTCCCACAGTTGCTGCTTGGCCTCTGGGGCTAAAAGAAGCCAGAGTAGGTCCCAGTCCAGGTTGGGATGCATGGGTGGAACATCTTCCCTTGTGATTGCTATTTCATAAAGAAAAAGAAAGCACGCAAAGGACAATTGCACAATCAATGTTACATCTAATTCAGCCTTAAGACGATGCTCAAGACACAACTGCATTTAATTTTCTTGAAAGGCTATGCATTGCTGCGTCCAGGTCAGCAGTGGTTCATCTTGCAAACACTTCCCCATTTATCATGATCATAACCAGAACTGTCTCAAGAGTGTCATTTCTCTGACTCATTAGGTGGGTGGGTTGAATGTCTAGAGTGAGTCATCAAAAGCTTTTTTGTCAGTACCAGTCCGTGTTTTTCCTCAGAGTCAAGAAGCACCATGACATGAAAAAACTTAATGCGATTTGCCTGAAAATCTGTAAGTAATCCTCAGAATGATGCTTCTAAGCACACACGATGTAGGTAATACTTTACTTGTCAAAGTCCATGTAGAAATGTGTAGGGTGTATCCATGTTTTCCTTCTTATCTGATCAGGCCATATCTGAAGTAGCATGTCTTGTGCTGGGTCCCTTGTTTTAAGAGGATCCATGAAAAATTGGAGCACATGCAGAAAAGGTTGAACAAGATGATGAACCATCTGGAAATCAAGTCCTATCAAGAATGAAAGAACTGTGTATATTTAGTTGGGAGAAAAGATGAAGGGGAGATCTTATAACTGTATTCAAGGATCTGGAGGACTGCTATATAGATTTTTTTTCTGTTTCTGCAAGGGTTAGGAATAGAACCAATGAGTGGAATCTGCAGGAAAGCAGTTTCTGGTTAATCTCTAGCGGAAACTTCCTAAATGAAATAGCTGTTTGGCAGTGGAACAGACTGCCTTGGGAGATGGTGGGCTGGAAGTATCTTGTACCTGCACTCTACCTTGTCTTGCACTGAGCAGGGGATCCAACCAGATGACAAAACCCATTCCAGCTTGATAATCCTATGCTTCTTTTCTTAGGCTCTATATTAGAGTTTTGTAATCCAATTCTGATACATAGATCTAAGTATGCATATGAATGCAGTTGCAAATAAACAGATATAATGGGACTTATTCCCTAGTAGGTGTGCTTAGGATGGCATTGCAAATCACCTGTTGCAACAATTGTTTGATGTCGTTCTACATTACCATTTTGCTGCTTGGAAAGAAGTGGAAAGACACACTGTCTTTGGATATATTCAAACTGCCACAGTATGGGAACCATTCTGAGTAAGGCAGTACACAATCAGTGTCATGGCAGGCTGGCCCTCAACACCAGGACAGGCAACTTGGAGCACTCCAGATATTTTGCTCTAAAACGCTTGTCATTCGTTACCACTTGCTTATCCTGGCTAGCACTGATGGGAATAAAGGACCAAACCTTTGGAAGGCCACAAGTTGCCCACGCTTGATGTTAACAAATACTAATCTTCATCAACACAGCTTATATTTATTATCTACTCAGTGGATGCCTGAAATCAGGTATGCATTGTAGATTGCTGTACCCAACAATCTGGTAAAGCTCTGTAACATTATGGCTATATCCACAATGCACAAATAATAATAAAGTACTAGCAACCAACATAACAATGGTAAGAGACCCTGAAAGGTATAAAGTGAACTATTCTAATGTTTCTCCCAGAATATGGATCATGTGCAAGAGAGGGACACATTGGCAGAATTTCCTTAGGATTACATTCTGCTTTAGAGATGCCAAATGTTGTCAGAGTTCATAGAGGGGAATGTATTTGATTGCAGGACATACATTTTTTGAAAATTCCTACTCTTCCTTCCTTTGCATCTGTTTTAGGGTCACAACTGAAAATATATGCACATGAATCTTTACAAAGTCTGCAAATGATAAGTATATTAATAATCTGAAGAGCTGTGTCTGTATAAACATCTACCCCACTGCCTGGTAACCTGCTGTGTGTCAGAAAAAAGCAAAGAAGAATTTTATCCTTATAAAATAGTATTTGTTAAGGCAGACACTCATTACAGAACAAAATTGGAAAAGTTTATCTTATTTAATTAGAATCTGATTGATTGTGTTGTATTAAAAGCTAATATGCATATAAATCAATGCTGCCTCTTTAGGAGAAATCTTGCTATATTGAGGAAATAGAAAGAGCAAGTAACAAGTGAAAGCAGGAGTTATGTTTGCAGGTAAAATGTCAACAGTTCTCTTTACACTTTAAAAATAAAAAAGGAGGAATGCCCCAGTGACATTTGTGGAGCATGTGTGTAAGCAACTTGACCAAAAAGGTCACTGTTAAATACATTTGTGCTGAATTATTTTTCACCCCATCCATTTCTTTTTCCACTGAACAGCAATCTGGATGAATGGCAGAGAAATCAAATTTTTACCCTGGACCCAGCTGAATTGTGCAGCCACCCTTTCCCATGTGTCAGACAGCTCCATGACAGTCCTCAAGCAGATGGATGCAGACAATCAAAGGCATCATCATGCAAAATTAAAGCATTGGCGGCATGGTGCACCTTCCTTCTGAGGCATAAGCTACCTATCACGGTCCTGCTTAGCTCAGCTTGATCATGTCTGACTCTGGATAACTAGCAGGCGAGTGAAAATTGACTTGTAAATCTTTCCGTTTTGAACAAAGCCTTAATTAAAGCAAAGGTGACCTCTCAAAGTCACATTTAATTCCTGTCTGACTGCAACTTCTGTCACCCTCGAAAGATCTCCGGACCAGTGAAGAAAATGACTTCTTTTGCTGCGTTTGTTCAACATGTGTGGAAGCTTTTTGTGGCTGAGAGGAAACCTGGTTGGAAAAATTTGTGGTCTCTGTTTGCAATCTGCAGCTCTGTTAGTTTCATTGCAAATGTGCTCCTGTTGCTAGCTGGGTATTCCTTAGTCATGGAATATCTCATGTTTTCAATAGCTATATTTGCATTTTCCTGGATTATGCTCTCCATTGGCCTGTGCTTCTTCCGGTTTCTACGCTGTTTTGCTGCCCTCTTTTTCCTTTCCTGTGGACTGCGTGAAGGAAGGAACAGCCTAATCGCTGCTGGGACTGGTGTAGTGGTAGCTGGTAACCTCCAAAATATTTTCCACAACCTCAAACAGTTGGCAGAGAGTGTGATTTGTATAATTGAGTCTCAGTGTTTCTCCTTTCTCGGACACTATATTGAAGCTATTCGGTGGATTTACCATCAGACCAAGAACCTGAGCAACCCATTTAAAGATGTGGTGTCACTGGAGAGCAAATTGAATGTGTCTTACTCAGTTTCAGATGAAGACTTGAAACTCAGGCTGAACAAGACAAAACTGTATATTGAAAATATCACCAACCAGATCTCCTCTCTACTCACCCTACAATCATATTTGGGGAAGAAAGTGCTCCCTCTACTGGGGATGGCCTTTATTCTTCTTGGGACATACCTCTTCATCCGAAAATTCCTGAGCCCACACAACCTCAAGTTTAAGAATGCTTACATTACAAATGAGTTTATTAGATATAATGAGAAGCTGAGGCAGCAACAAAAGCCCTCAGTCCTTCCCCTCAGTAAAGAAGAAAGAAAGCTGTACACAGTGGTACCGTCTTTTTGCCAAACTCGCAAAGACAGAAAACACACGGCACGCTTTTTCCTCCCAGTGCTTACTAATCTTTGTATTTGGGCTCTCTTTGCAGCAGTAGATTATTTGCTTTACTGGCTTATTTTTTCGGTGAGCAAGCATCTTCAAGATTTGCCCGAGCTTGAGGTCCATTTGAAATTGTATTACCATGTAAGTATCCTAGCTACAGTACCAGCACTTTCCCCTGACTTCTACTGCATTAGGTACAAATTTTCTGCAGCGTAAACCTATGCTAAAGCACAGTACAAAGCACAGAAAACCCTGTGCTTTAAAGGCCTATAAATACCTATAACAACCTATGCAATGGGGTTGACACATCCGTTATTTGATCAAGCTGAATGTTTGGCATGGCCAGAGGACAGAGGTGCAAAATTTGGGAGGACCCATTGTTAAGTAGTGGATCACATGTTGTAGCCTGATTTTACATGTTGGAGATCCTTGACAGATCTCTGGTATCAGGGGCAAAGAAAATCTTCTGCTCAGGATCTCAATTGACTGGTAGAAGTTGTGCCCAATCTGGCAACCTCCTGCACTGCAGTCCAGGAAGGATGGGAGTTGTAATCCAACACAATGGACAAAGCTGGAGCAGATAGTACAAGCTAGATGGACCAAGTCTGATATAGCACAGGGAAGCTTTGCAATTCCCTTTCTAATATTCAGCCCATGTGCCCAAGCATGGAGACAGTTATTGGGATACAGGACTGTGGGATGGAGAAATGGAAAGGAGGTGCCCTCTCCCCTTGGCCAAACTTTATCTGTTGCCTTTGAGAAATTGCAGTAGATTGCCATGGGTGGGACAGCAGAAGGACACCAAACAATCCTTCATCCCAAGCATCTCTTTTATCTTTGTGACTGTGAGCAAGATCTAGATCCAGTCATGGTAGAAGACAGTGTTTGGGATTAGAGATTCTAGGCAGGAGAGGGTAGTGAGCAAGATAATGTGGAGTGGGGAGGCAGATCTAACGTTATTAATCTCAGGGTACCAGGGTCAGGTAAATATGGCAGACCAGTTAAGAAACATCAGATGCTCCAAGTGTTTGGCCCTTAAGCAGGAAGATCGTGATGGTGCGGCGATCATGTGAGTTGTTCATTTCAGTTTGGAAGGGAGCAGCAGTATTTAATTTGGAATTAATTTATCGTTGTCGCTTTTCTCTAATGGCCCATATTTTAACTTTGCCAATTTCTTCAGTTATTGACTTCTGCAATATGCTTCATTTGTGTTTTAAAACCAGCCTAGTTATTCAGCATTCACATCATAAAGTCTCTTAGTTAGAAAGTCATTGTGCTGGTCTGCTTGGAAGAAACATGGAAACATAGCAAGTCAGAAGGGACCTCCTGGGCTGTCTAGTCTGACCCCTCAGTCTGCTCACATAATGTCCAACATGTGGGTGTCCAATCTTGTCCTTGAATGCCCTCACTGATGGGGCCTCCACCACCTCCTATGGAATCCCATTCCATATCCAAGAAGGGGAGAACTGCCACACAGTGAACATTGGTAGCTGCTGTTCTTCACCACGACGTAGAAGAACTTAAGATCCGAGCAAGTAGTCCAGCATTCTGCCCTGCGGAGGCAAACTAGTTGCCTGTTACCACAAACAGGGTATGAGGACAACGTCACCCTCCCACCAGCTGCTGCACCGAATTGGATACTGGCTGTGTTACTCAGTGAGACATATGCAGTCTCTCACGCGGGAGGATATACTGGGAGGTGATATCCTGGTTTTGCTATCTTTTAAACAGGTTATATGAAGATGTCATTTGAGTGTTGAAGAGATCCATTTAGGCAGCATTTTTAGATCTATTTAATTCAAATTGATGGCTGGATGTACAAAATGATCTACAGGCCTACCAATTATACTTGAAGGAGTGGATCCCGTGGACCCCCTTATACAAAGGACCCAATTCCTTAATAAACCTGAAAATGAAATGATTTCTAATAGACATCAAGATATTTGTCTGGTTTACAGGCATAGCTCAAGTTCATTCCTTTTGCATTCATTTTTTTTGCTGCTCAGCAGGAGAATTTCCCATTACTTCCTCTTAGAACTGGTTGCGCTGAGCAATCAATTTTTGCTCTTTCCCCTAAAGAAACCATTTATCCAAGAAGCAATTATAAGAAACTCAGGTGTTCCAGAGAGCAGGGCATTTGGGTTCACCAACATAACTAGTGCGTAGCTTCTAATTACAAGGAAACAGGAAGGGATTTAAGCAACACCTGCTGCTGTGTGATGGGGCAGTGGCATTTCCTTTCCCTCTTCCTGTGTGCCAGATAATTTGCTCTTCAAAGGGGAAATAAAGCAGAAACTTCTTCATACAGAAATTGCCATTTCAAATCTGTTGAAGAATGATCAGTGATATGGAAGAAATGTGGAAGATGTGCTCTCTCTTATTTAAATCAAGAATTCGCACAATCAGCTTAGCTGGCATAAGATTTAATATAAACCAAACAATTTCCTTTCCAATTCACAATTCATTTACAGAGTTCATTAAGCACCTGCAAGATTCTGTTCACCTTTTGCTACTCCATTCATATTTGCTATCCAAAACTTCATTTGTTTTAAAAGTCCTTCACTGAAACCAAATTTTATTATTTCTTGCAGTACATTGGTCTTAATTATAATTTTCTTTCTTTTGCTTTTACCTTTTTTTTTGTTTTTGCTGCCTGTGGCAACATCAGCTGTGCTATTGTTGATTGCTGCCCTAATTTATTTTTCCAGAATGCCCGACACACCACAATATTCTAGAACATTTGGAAGGCGGGATTAGAATTTCCAGGCTTTTTCCTGGGAATAAATCTGGAGCATTAAAAAAATAAAGGAAGGCTGGCTGCCTACGCATCCCTCAGCTCATGTCTGTATGCAGGGCAACCAAGTTCTAAGTGGAACAAAGAAAACACGCCCACTCATACCTGTTCAGTACATTCAATTCATATGCAATAGATTAAAGCAAAGGAAAAACTGGAGCAAGCACTCCTAGAATTTGCTGCTACAGGATTTAATTTGTGGATGGCTTTAAAATGGAGTTAGGCAAATGAATAGACCAGTCTATTAGAAGGAAACTGCAAAATTGGACCTCTGGGTTTAGGGGCAGTCTGTCAAGGAATATAACTTACTGGGCAGATATGGGGAAAGTTTAGTGTTGTACACTAGTATTTAGTGTTCTTCTGAGTGAAGAAGCCTCTAGCTGGCCTCTGCTGGAAAGCAGGTAAAACTGGAATCCACTCTAGCACAGTTCTGTTAGGTTATCTGAGAGCTTCTCTAGGTGGGGGTTTAACATACTGCTTTACTGAGGCGTCTTCTTTCATTTTTGTTGTGGGAGAAAACACATCCTTTACACAGGTTTATTTTCCTTGTGTAAATTATATCTTTATGTCTATTTATATCTTCCTGCTTTTCTATATATTATTTTAACCATCCACAGGGTGGTACTCTAGTATAGATGAGAGACAGCAGATTTATGACAACACACAAGGCTTTTGACTTTCCTTGCTTTAGTAATACCAGAAATAAGGGTGAAAAACGCAGGAGAGGGAGTGAAGAGTGATGATGTTGTGAAATGAGCCTGCAGACTTCCATGAGCACACAATGAATGCCTTGTGTAGGGAAGCCCCAAGTTCTTTCAATCTCAATGCATATGCTGCTGTTGCAAGAGACAAGGGACACTACTGGCTTAAGCAACAGCCCAAAGAACATTTGAGTTAGGAGACCATTAACATCTTGTAACAACAAAACAAATGCAGAATCCACTGTTGAATTGGAGTATTTCCACATGATTGGCTTTGAAATACTGCAATGGTGGAAGCAACACTAATTTCATTTTTATCACTTGTTCTCATTTCTCTTATACAGAAAAATGCTTATAAATTTATCTTCAATAATGGGCAGATTGCTGACAAAAAACCTTCCTTCAAGATTCCTCTCTTCAAGCAAGCCTGCATCCCCAAACCAAATTTTGCCCTCTCTGCAACATGGACGCATCTGGGAGCCATTGTCTTCTCTTTAACAGTGCTTGGGCTGTTGACTTCTACACTTACACAACTTAAAATACTGGTGATAACATCATTTTTTCCTAGCACAGGCATGAAACGGATCAAGTATCTGCACAAAAAGTTGTTAAACAGAAGATCAAAGTTCTCCGAGAGAAACATGAAAAAGAAACCACATTTGTTTGCAACGGTAAACTACAAGCAGTATGAAATGTAGTGATTTTTGAGAATCTAAAACTAGAAGCCACCAGAATGAGGCTCCATCTAATCTGACAACACAGCAGAGCTTTTACCAGACAAAAGACTCAGCCCTATCTCTAGTGATGTTATCAGTGCTGATGTTTACCCCTTTCCCCATGCATGGCACTGCAGAAAGTGAAGTGTTTGGATAAACATGGAAGCCACATCTGCATGGGCTGCTCTCCTGCTGTTCTATGCTCAGAGCCCCAGCCAAATCACTGCTGAGGTGATGCTGGTTCTGGAAGACTCAAGGGCTTAGAACCCTGGACATGCCCTGAGTGCAGCAGGCCCCAGGTTTGAATCCTGACAAAGGAATTCTGCCTGAAACCCTGGAAAACCACTCTTGTGTCAATGGGCTAGATGGACCAAAGGTCTGACTCAGTGCAAGGCAGCTTTAGGGACCAGGCACACTTCTCCCAAAATACAGCCTTCCAAGGCTGTTATCCTAGAATTGGAATCAGAACTGGAAGAGAAGGCAGGAGAAATGCCAAGGCCAGCAGGCCAAAAGTCCACTGAAACCCAGACTATGCCGGTTTCTGCGGGACACTCCATTGAACAGGCAGAGTCAGAAAGAGGCAGATGTAACATGATCAGTCACAAGGCAAAGCCATTGAGTAATGACTGGCATTCCCAGCATCTGGCCCACGAACAGGAACCAGAAGGAACCACCCTGAAGGTGTTGCTAACTCCTTTTAGTTGGGAAAGGAGGAGATGGTTTCAAGTTTGGAACCTACTTAGCTTGAAGCTGTATTTCTTTAATAGCTGACATTCTAACTTCACTGATGCCTTTTGCAATGACTTCTACAATACTATTTGTATCACAAAGTCAGTCTAGCTGGGCAGTTTTAACATAAACATAGATTGCAGTTAGAAGTCTTTTCTCCTGATCTACTTGGAAGGAAGAGTGAGGTGATAGACCTCGGACAGCAGATTCCTATGTTCTCAACTGAAACTTCCCTTTTTCCTGCAAGGAGGGTGAAAGGGAATGATTGCTTAGAATTCATTTTGCTTGACAAGGGCTGTAAGCAACTTATTATTTCTCCCTTCTTCTTCCAAGTAAAAGGAAGCAGAATAAAATCTTAGCTCCCAACCATCCTACTCTGGACAGACCAAAACCTAGGTAAGGCAGCAATAATTTCATCACAGATTTTCACACTTGTAAAAACAAACATTTCTCTTTCTTCCCAGTTACACTTCTGGTTTCCAATAGTCCAAGCAATGAGAAATGCCAGGAAGAAAGGAACAGATGTGGCAAAAGGTGACAGTTTTTAACATAAAGGTAAAAAAAATCCCATGGTTCTATGAGTGAAAACAATCTGGTGCATTTGTTTTTTCTTACATTAGTTCACTGATCTCCCCTCATCATTCAGTTTTAAAGACATCGAAATATGCAAAGTTGTTATCCCAATACCCTGTCAGAGTCATACTTCTCTGTAATTCAGATATTTCTTTCAATATTCATTCAGTCTTTCACCTTATACTTTCAGATTTTTCTCTTTCCTTTCTCCTGATTTTCCCTGATCTTTGCCACTGTTCTTTTGTGTGGGTGGGTATTTTCTTTCCCATTATATATCTATCATCACCAAAGTGTCATCAGCCCCTCCAGCCACCTTCCACTTCATGTTTTATTTTTCACAGATGAAAGAACTTTAGCTTTTGACTTAACATGAACGATGCAGATTTGAAATGAAGGGTTTTAGTGATTCAGTGCCAATTAGGGCTACTGGATTTCTTTTCTAATGTTGCTTCGGGTGGTGCTGTGGCCTCCAATTCCCCCTCTCCTCTTTTGTTCCTACACGCACCCAAGATACTGAGTCTGAAAACCTCAGCTTGCTCCTTTGACTCACCCTTCCCATCCTCCTCCTAAAATGCAGAACTCTCTCCTTTTTCTTTTTTTAGGCTATGAAAGGCTATGAAAAAGATGTCAAGTTTGCTGCAATAAAATCCCCAGATCAAATCAGCTGCAGTCTGAAAAATTAATGATGGGCTGACCCAGTTGTCTGAGGATGACAATCAAAACTGGCAGCATCCAGGCCACTGACACTCCTGAAGTACGACCCACATGTAATGCACAGAATGCTTAAGGGCCGTGTGTGTGTGTGTGTCTTCTCTTCTGCCTCTCTTTTTCGATGTAACATTTCGTCAGTGTGAATGACTCATTTCCCCAGAGAAATTACTCCACACTTGCATTTTGACATGTGTGGGGTCCTGATTCAACTTTTCATTTCTTTATTTCCATGCACTAGGACAGTGCATTTGTACCAGTGGACTTGCAGGTAAGGAGTGAGTCCACTGGGGAGGTCCAGAGAAATACGAAGATTGAGCACATTAAATGGAATGGATTATTATTATTATTATTATTATTATTATTATTATTATTATTATAACATTTCTATGCCGTCCCTTGCCGAAACCTCGGGGCAGCTTACAACACAAAGGAGTATTCCTTCCCAAATGTAGAATAGGATACATGGGGCAAAGAGTGCTCCAGCACTGACTTGTACACCATATGAATGACTTGGGTGAGGTTCTAGATTCAGTCCTAGACACCTCCAGCTACAGAATCTCATGTATTAAACCTGGGAATACTTCCACGAAGAGTAGTTTACTAAAGCCAGTGGTGGTTGGGAGGCTGCACTGAGATTTAGCTATGTATCTGGCTTCTAGTCCCCACTCAGCCATGAAACTTGCTGGGTACAGATGGGCCAGTCACTCATGCTCAGACTAGGGTTAGGGGGTTTTGTGAAGATAAAATGGTGAGAGGGAAGCTGCCTTGCATTCCTTACAAAAGGGGAAAAAAGGCAAGATGTAAATGTAATGTAATAGTTATGAAGCTGTTTCATGTCCCATCCAGACAAAGCTTAGTATGGTTAATTCTAAGTGACAATTAGGGCTTATGCAGATTTTTCACACATGAGAGATGCACTGGATGAGCTCTAGTGGTGCTGAGCCAAGGATCTGAGCTGCTATAAACCAGATGCAAAAATAAAAAAGCTCAGAGAACCATAATGCCATGGAATGGGACAGCAAAAGTAATTGACCTATAGGTCAAATTATATGGCTATCCATGTGCAATTTTCTGATAGTTTTATCCAGAGTATCCTATGATGCCCACACAAATGGAACTCCTTGTTTGCACAGTGACGTATTTGAGATTGAAAAAGGAACGAGAAATGAGTGGAAATTATTGTTTCTAGAATGGGGCAGGTCAGGAGTTCTCAGAAGGGAGTTCAACAGAGCTGTGCCCATCTGGCAATAAGTGCTTCTGCTCATTTGCAGGGGTCCCTTATGCAGAACTAACTCCCCGTAGTGGCGGGTCCTACTGATGAAACAGAATGAGCAGGACCACAGCAGCAGTATAGGATACTTCCCATACTGTCAATAGTTTCCTGAGAAGAAGCCTGTCCAATAACTCATTCCAGTTTTGACACCTTAATCCTGAGATATATCATAAAATCGAGCACAGATTTGAGTCTGGGAATGGTTAATCTTTCTGTGTTCTCACGTAAAATTTCAGTGGTCCTCACAAAATATTATCATGGGAATACAATGTCCTCAGTGAAAGAGAACATTGTTCTGAAAATGTCCAGAGGAGATAGAAGGGGTCAAAATAGCAGAGAAGAAAAGGCCATTCATGCTTTAGGATAATCAATGTGGATCTGCCAGAGTGGTAAATCATTCAGGAATCTTCAAGGTTTGAAATCAACACTGCAGGCTAATAAGCTCTAAAACAGATGGCCTGAGCAGGAAGCAGAAGAATTCTTGTCTGGATTTGACCTACAGAGACAAGAGGGAGATGACAGAATATAAACTTTCAAAAGGAAGAAGTCATCTATATAGCAATTTATCACCAAGCAAGGCAATAGCAGAATTAATGCATGAAAAGCTTGTAAGAATTATTATGCTTTTCTTCATTTTGCCTTTGGGAAAAAGGCGAGTAAGGGGAGACATGACAGAGGTGTTTAAAATTATGCATGATGTGGATGAAATAAAGAGGGAGAAAAAGAACTCTCTCTCTGATACTAGATCCAGGGGTGTGGGTCAACTCATGAAGCTAATTTGTGGGAGATTCAGGACAGATAAAAGTACTTCACACATCATGTCCTTAAACTAGGGAATACACTGTCACAGGAAGCTGTGATGGCTACCAATGTGGACAGCATTAAAAGGGGAGTGGGCAATTCATGGAGGAGAAAGCTATCAGTAGCTTGTGGACTTGATGGCACTGTAATCAGAGGTGCCATGCCCTTTGGCCGATTGTAGGGGGCTTGTACCCATCCTGCTAGAGAGATCCAGTAAGTAGCTGGTTTGCTACCGTGGGAAGAGAATGCTAGACCAATGGGGCAGTGGCCTGTTCCAGCATGACTTTTCTTAGGTTCTTAAGAAGGGAAGAATTCTGGACCATGTGTGGAGCCACAGGGATGGAGGGGGTCCCAATCTACACAAATCATCCTCGGCATGTAGAGTGTGACAAAAATGGTGATGAAGGGAGATGGGATTCCCATCTCCCCCTTAAATATTTAATCAGCATACACTGGGAATGCCTGAGAAGGTTTCAAGTGATGCTGGAGAGCCAGCGTGGCGTAGTGGTTAAGAGCATGGGACTGGGACTCAGGCAATCTGGATTCTAGTCCCCACTCAGCCATGGAGCCAGCTGGGTGACTTTGGACCAGTCACAGACTCTCAGCCCAACCTACCTCACAGGGTTGTTGTTGTGGGGATAAGATGGAGGAGCAGAATGATGTAAGCTGCCTTGAGCCCTTTGTAGGAAAAAGGCAGGATAAAAAAAAAGTGATAGCCTGGACAGTGAGTCGAGAACTCAGGCCCTTGCCAGAGGCAGCAGTAAGTATGTTTGCCTCTGTGACACCATCTCTCAGGATCTACAACTCCAAGAGTTCTTTAGCTCTTGCTGGAATTTCCTCTGCACAGGCAGCAACCGAGTCTGAGGACCACGTAATTAGGGACATGGAGGTCCCAGTAACTGAGGAAAGCAGTACTGTTGATATGAACTACAGGGCCCTCAAACATACATGAATGCATACATTAGACCTGTGGCCCCCAGAAAACAAGAAGAACTGGCAGGAGATCTCAGGGACAATGAACAATGACTAACTGCCTAATTAATATACACACATATCGTACTGCAATGTCTGGCTACATGGAAGATCAGGCAGCCAGAAATGGAAGGGATTAAACAAAGAGAACTAAAATAACCTAAAGGCCACCAATCCATCTTCCAGGGTTTCAAAACAGAGAAAGCCCTTTTGAAGGTTGGGAAGGAGCTGCATCTTATAGTGAAATTACTCTTGGACACTGCATGGGGTACATCTACAATACCAGTGGCTCCTATGTCCCCCACCTCGCACTACAACATGGGAATTGTAATTTTGTGAGGATGCCAAGTTATCCTCTCATCTCTTCTCTGAATGACAGTTCTATGGTTTCCTCAGTACAGAACCAGGAAATGGATCTAAACGGGTAATGAAAAATACAGTAAAGTGTTGCAATATGGCAGTGAGAGTATTTTGACATAGATCCTCAGCCTGGTTGTTGCATGCAAGTAGCTGAATTGGGATGGAAGCATTTACATCAGCAAAAAGAGTGTTACCTCCAGACGGCAAACTGTATTGTAGGGCTCTTGTTCATTCTGAGATAACTCTGCCCACATATGGGGCTCGCTTGACACGAACGGGCTGGCAGACCTGCAATGACACGTTTTACTTTTTACATTCATCATTCCTCTTCCTGAAAATTGCCCAAAACCAAATGGCACATTGTTGTTTCATGGCTGAAGATGCCATTCTTGATGACTTTTGGAATTTCATGAATCTGCAACAGACTTTAGGTTGGCAGCAGACTGCTATTTGTGTTCCCCAGAAGAAAGAAAAATCAGACCTTTTAATTGTCGTAGCAAATTTTGCATAAAGGGCCAGGAAGGCAACTTCTTCCTATTCCTGTTTTAGCTCCACTTTCCTTAAGTTCTCAGACTTAAGCCATCCTGAGCTCTCCACTGGAAGTTCACTTGTGCCCCTATTTCCACATGAGAACTTTAGTCAGACCATCTGAAGTAAACTACCAATGTTGCCTTTTCTACTAGATTGGAAAATATCTTTTGTTCATGTGCATATGTTAGCTTACTGAGCTATGCAAAACTTTGAAATTACTCATTCCCTAACACTGAGCTGAGTCCAAGTGGTATGTATCCTAGAGAACCTGAAGTGATAAAGGAAGAATAGTGTTGCAGAAGCATCTAACTGCAGTGAAGGTATTTTCAGAAGATATTAATTAATCAATCAGTACAGGAGGAGGCTGAACTGTTGCTCATTAATACCTTGTTCACACGCTTTTAGTTATTTCAAAGATTAATGTAATCTGTGAAGCCCATCTTCCCTTACAATACATTTCCTCTTTTATTTCTTGTCTTCCCTTTTTATACTTGAAGTAGATACACTTTCTAGAAAATATATCTGGGCATGATATTGTAGACAGATATTACATACATTTTATGGTTAGAACGCCAAGGTAATATAGGCAATTGTTATCTGAATTATACAGAATGTCCTTCCCATGGTGCAGGTAGAATCCATGGGCCTTGCAAATGAACTTCTGGCTTTTGGATGGAGAAACTTCCACTTCATTGGTAACCAACAGCCCAGTCTTCCCATGTAGGCTTACTCAGAAGTAAGAGTCTGGGGTAGGCACAGTCAAGACCAGAAGGGGGCCATACTCCACCAGGACCTCGCTCGCAAAGGCGCCCTGGGCTCGCTTTCTCACGGTGGCTTAGGCCATGCTGCTCAGAAGTAGGTGTAGCAGAAGCCAGTGCCTTCTTGATCACCGCCAAGCAAGCAAGTGGTAGCCATGATGAAAGAGACGGCAGGGAGCCACACAGCTGGTGACCGTAGCAAGTGCATTGCCCATGTGGGACAATTCATTGCCTTGCCCAAGGCCTCCAGAAACCGGGAACAGGCACTTGAAATGCTATTCTTGGCAGTGGGGGTTATATACACAGAACTGCTGACTAAGTCCAATGTGCACATATTTGAGGGTGAGTATTTAGGGGTGTTCCATTTGTACCTATTGCAAGCAAAAGTACCTATTACAACTTTGCTTCTTAGAACATGCTTTCAAGGGTCATAGAATGAGCTTCACCCTGAGGCTCACATGGTGGCAGCCTTATTATCTTTTTGGCACCAGGTTAGGAACGTCTTCTATTGCAGGACATTTAATTAGTGGGGTTTGTTAACTGCTTGCCCAAAATTTACCTTGATTTAAGTTATTGGAATTTTTATATGGGTTTTAAATTTTGCATGGCAGCCTTTTTCATGTTGCTTAATAATGTGGTGTATATTATTCTGTATTTTAATGGTTTTTTTGGCTACTGGGTGGTATGCAAGTTAAATAAATAAATAAATAAATAGCTATAACAACAAAACAACTCTTCCTTTAGAAATAGGAATGGAAAGATTTTATTAAAATCAATTATTTAAATTGAAAGCTTTTGCTTGGCAATTCCAATAAAACTTTAAATAATTGATCTACACAGTCCTAATTTATATCTACCTATCCTTGTAGGCCTATTTTATAGCAGCCCAGATTTCTGTATTTTGTTTCTAGGACAATGAACACCCAAATGTTGTCTTTAATGCTCTGAATACTGTCAGCCCTTCTTCCTAAAAAATAAGTTTCCATCCCTACATTCTGGGGCAATTTTTATAGTAAGTGATAGATGATCCCTTATGGATATTGATTCTTGCAAAAATGAGACTGGTGTATACTGTAAAAACAGCTTGAACAGATGTTCTGAAGTTTCTGAGTGCCCTTCTTCCAGAGAGTCATCAAAGCCCAGCCTGATAATGGTGTCTCAGGCTCTTAAAATGTGGCTGCTATTGAGTTGCAATGCTGTATTTCTGAATATATTTTTGTTTATTGTTTAATATATTATTTATTTAAAAACAAAATACTGACCTTGCATTATAAAATATAAATAATTACAGTGCAATGATAAGCTGCTTTCCTCAGAAACACGTTCCAGCCTATTCAGTGGAGCTTACTCCTGAGAAGGTGTACACTGGACTGCAGCTTTGAACAAGCACCTTTTCATTTAGAGCAAAGTATGAGAAGTTAGAGATAAGAAGCAGGATGGCAAGTACAGCTTTGCCTGACATTAGGCTGTTAAAACCCCACTGGCTTCAGCGAAGATTCATTTAAACAGCCAAATTGCATAGGTCTGCAGTTGGAGCCTTTGCATTAAAGACTGCCTAAGACTGCAAGTGGAACATTTACATTACAAGATGCAGCTACAGAATTTGCATTAGGAGATGCTTTCCTCAGCTGAGACACACAGCATATATATACCGTGTACCGGTATAGCCTATATCAGAAGAAAGTGAATGGTTTTAGTATTCATAGCCCTCAAGGTATGCAAAGGTTTAAAACTTAAAACTGGGCTTTAACTGTGCTACCAAATTTTACAGTATTGCTCCATCTCTCTGCCTTAGGCTTTGAGACACTGGGTTCTTCCAGGAGCGGCTTTTACTGTGAATTCATCCATACTAAGGGTCAAAACAAATGTAGTGTTAAACACAAATACATTGCACTTGTCAGTTTTTCCTTTACTCAATAGCAGTTGCAAGGGAGAGAAGGAATTGTGAGTGCGGTGTGTGAGGAGGGCTTTTTAACTTCTGAATCCATGCCCCACCCCAGCTGCTATTAGTCCTCAGCCGCGCTCTTTGAGGCCCATCAAACTGAGGAAACCGACTCATTTCTTCCCATGGCCCAGGTTTTTAAAAACATGCAGGCACATACCTGATCCCGTTGCTTGATCCGCTTGTAGACAAACTCAGGAAATGGTTCACGTGGGATATATCTTCCCTCTCCTGCTACGACATGGAAGGTTCCGCTCTGATAAACCACCTTGCCTTGGGAAATGGTGACAACTGGCACACCGTGACAGACCATTCCTTCAAATATGTTGAAGTCATTGGCCTGGTGATGTGTCTTTGCTGAGATTGTCCTGTGTTTGAAGAGAAGATCAAACTGGTATATAGTGTTACTACAGCTGGGAAATATATACGGAAGGATCTTTTGCAAGGAAATATCTAAGAAAAAAAAATAGGCTGCAAAAACATGAGAGGGCTACAACTGAATGATACTGTTGCCGGGGCCTCCTGTGAAATTCCAAGTAGGACAGGAATGCCATAAAAGCTGCTTAGAAGCACCAAACTTCTGAAATCTTCAAGTGCTGAGAAAAATTAAGAAGCATGGTAAAGGCTGCAGTTCCCAACCTGGATCACTCTTCTCTTGCCCTCACAGTCAGCATGAAGAAAAACATGACTGCAGCTGCAGGGACACAAGAGCAAGGCATTCTGGGGTGTCCCAGGGGCTGGAGAGCGGAGGAGATGAGGTCTGCCAGCATATGTGGCATCCCGAAGATGCCTCACCACCCTTTCCATGTGCTCTGAGGACAAACACGTGGCCAAGAATTTGTATGGTGGCGATCTCCTGCCATACACAGGATGCCTGTAATCTTCTGAATTTGTAGGGTTACTGGCAGCTTTGGTGCATTGCACTGTTATTTCTTTTATTACTGTTTTTATCAACTTTTATTAATGATTTTAAGCAGTCTTCAGTGCCATTTTTGGTAGAAAAGTCAAGTCAACAAAAAAACACTTCCCCAACCTGGCATAGTCTAGATGTGTTACACTGCAATTCCCATTACCTCCAGCAACTATGGTTACCATCCTGTCTAGGGATTATGGGAGTTGTACTGTAACATCTGAAGCACACTAGGGCAGGAGTGATTGTGCCACCCAGTCCTTTTGTGCAAAGCTGTGCTTTGTGTGTGCGGCGGTGGGGGGAGATTACTTTTCTTTGTCTTTTTAGTAATACCTCCATGTCCACCCTATCTGGGGGTGGCAGCCTATTTACACAGTAAGTTTTCCTTTTCAGCCTTGTCACTTGGAATGTCAATTATATTTTATACTTGGAGAGATAAAAAGGAAAAGCAAGAACACGCACAACCTTTTTTTCATGTCCATTAAATTTGTCAATAGTTTTGAGCCAGCCTGATTAAAAACAAAAACAAAAAACCCAACCCCCCCCAAAAAGCAAAGCAAGACAAACAATATTGAGCACCTATAAAAACAATTTTTGTAGTTGAAATTCATTGCTTCTCAGTGAAAACATGCCAAATTGAGATATTTTGTTTATTTGCATCATCATCATCATCATCATCATCATCATCATCATCATCATCATCAATTCTATACTGCCTAACAGCCAAAGCTTTCACACTAAATGCAGACTCCAAGCCAAGTGTGGACTTCAGACTTACAGCAATATTAACCCTGGGGGGCAGCAATATAAGATATAGGAAGTTGCATCATAGTGAGTCACTCCATGGGTCCATCTACCCCAGTGCTGTCAACACATTCTGGCAGCAGCTCTCCTGGGTTTCAGACAAGAATTTTCCCAGCCCTACCTGCAGGTGCTCGGGATTGAATCTGGGACATTCTCTAGGATCCATGTGCAAAACAGTGACTTAGCACTAGGTGAAAAATGATTGTTTAGGGATTGACGTTACCAACTGTACTCGTACTTCACACACTAGGATAGCCTGCAAGTCTATATCTGAGTTAGAGGACAGAGATTCTGACAGCTTCATTTAGAATGGGGTGGGATAACTGTTGCTGTTCTGGTTAAACAATTCAGAGCCAAAAGCCCTTACTGATCTTCTACAAATCCTCTAGAGATCTCATGTCAGATCCTGCTAGGATTGGTTCAAGGGCTCTTCTCCCTTGAGGCAGGAGAGTGCAGGGGTGATTCTGCCTTACCTCCTGCTCCCACACACCACGTCCCTCTACCTGCACATTGAGCCGTTCCCTTCCCATGCCTCCTCTGCCACGTCTCCTGTCTCACATCTTCCTCTGTTACGGCCACTGTCACTGTTCTTACTCATGCTCTCCAAAGAGCTCAACTGGCTATAAAAGCACATGGTGCAGCTCAGCAAAACTGGCCAGGTGAACACACTTAGCTCTGGGGTTGCTTCTTCAGTGCCAGGCCTTGTGGGAACCGGTGTCCCTGGAGATCACCTCTAGGCATTTGGGCCTGGCCACGTCATAAGAAGGCTGCCTCTGGATTCCCACCAAGCCCTATGGCACACCATATTTTGGGCAGTGGGCAAAATGTCCAGCCATTCTACAAACAAAGCAGGTTCCTTTTTACTGTGCTAGAACATTAGAAATGGCAGGATGTGGCTTTCCTGGATGTATCGGCACCTGCTTTCTTTTGTGATAGTGACAAGATGGTGGAATAGTTCTTTTTTAAACCCCACAGGAGTTGAACAGTTTAAGGTGTGGCAGGCCCTTCCTGCACATGTGTGGGCTGCTCCTCTGCTTTCCTGGCATGGCAGTCTCCTAAAGAAACACCATCCTTTAATCAGAAAGAAACAATGAGGGTGGGGTAGGGTGGGTGGAGGTTTATCAAAAGCCTTCTCAAAATGGCAGTGACTGGAAAACAGTGCTGTAACTATCTTGCCCTGAGATTAATTTCTATATGATGATGTCATATATGCCAACAACAAATATGCTACTTATTTGTTTGTTTATTCAGTTGTCCTATTTATATGCTGTCATATAACAAAATATTCTCAGAGCATCTTATAAATAAACTTTCTGGCCAAAGCCATTTTGGTGGGAAACTACAAGGGTTTGTTAACAGTATAGCACAAGAGCTTTATAATGCCACATCACCATTGCATTTTAAAAAATCTAGTGGGGAAAGTGTTTTAGTAATAAGTAAAAGATTATTTAAAATGGGATCACAAACTAGCACACATTGTAAAGGTTTTAATGAATGCGAACTGTGCTGTGCTGTGGAAGGGTTACTTTTCTAAAATGTCATTGCCTACATCAAAATCCCTCTCTTTAGAAGAGTAGTACGAAAACTACCTGCACCTGTACAAACTACAGCTCTCTTCAGTTTATATTAAGATACTGAATTAACTACAGCTGATGGAAGAACCACAGGGAAAGCTGGAAGAACTACCTGGAAAATACAAGGAAACAATAACTGGTGCCATGTAGATTCCCTATAAATGGTACACGAATGATCCCACACCAAACTCCCAAAGTGGAAGCCCCCCTGTTAATGTACCACTCCCAACATATTAAGCACCCATGAGTTTAACAGTTGTGTACATTTACAGAAAACGGCAATTAGAGTTCATTCATCTAGCCTGAGCATTTGGCACAACTCTTCAATAAAAGATAAGCCCTGGTATAGCAAAAAGGTTTCTTCATCATTTTGTCACCTCAGTGCTTTCTCTGTCCTTGGTTTTACTGATTCATTTTGGTGTGAGCAAGACTAACTTGATTATTGGCTTTATTATATTTACAGCTTGCTTTTCAGCCACAACTGGGTGCCTAAGAGGTTGCAATCAAAATCCACAAAAAGGTGCAATATAGCAGGGCTGTGTTAGAGATGCATAGCAATAATTCAAACTCCAGGCCTTCTCGCCTTGCAACAGGAGGCACAAGATGTTATGGGGCATGTGGGAGCTAAGTGGTTGTAAAGATGCCAGCAGACTTAAAGTTGAGGTCATTCCTTGGAATAGTGGTCTTCAGAATTTTCCTGGGTGCACATTCTTGGGCTACAGCATAATTGCCATCATACTTGTTCTGGCCCTGTGGTACTGTCACAGGAGTGAAAAATGCTAGAAGTTACAGACTAGAGTATAATTATCTCTAACCTCCTCAGGGAAGAAAGCATACAAAAGCACTGGCACATCAAATTTATAGATTCAGAAACAATACCAACTAAAGCAAGAAACAAATAACCCCACAGTGTATCATTAAAAAGTTGGGAGAGTTTAAAAACACAAAAGTATATGAACTAATTCTGAGATACAGAAGTGGGCTTTGAGATCCATTTGTGAGCTACCTGAATAAATGCATGAATGCAGCTTATACAGCCTTCCCCAACCTTGTAGTTTTCAGACATGTTTGGACGACAACATCCAGAATTCCTAGTCAATGGCCCTGCTGGATGGGAATTCTGGGAGTTGTGGTCCAAATACCTCTGAAGGCCCCCAGGTTGGGGAAGGCTGGCTCATACCAAGACAGGCCAGTGGCCCATCAGACCCAATGTTGTGCACTGTGTTCTACCTTCTCCCATGGCAGGGGTTCTAGTGTCTCATATGGTCTGAGGAAATGCCCTTCTCTGGTTTCTGTAGCTGCCATCTTTTACATGGCAGGGACTGAATCCAGGATCTTGTGCTGGCAAAGCAAGTGTTCCAACTGTAAGTCCCAGAACCAGTCCCAGAGCTAAGCTAACGTTGGGAAAGTCCAAATACATCCTCAAATAAAACAATACAATTTTTGTGACCTTTAATTTAAAATCTGGCAGCAGTGCCCTTAGTCCCATTCCCCATCTTCAGGGTTTTTCTTTCCCAGTTCCAACAAAAAGGTAAAAACAGCTCCAAGCTGTGCTAATGATCCATCTGCTTTCAGATAAGGCAAGCTCCCAGCCAAAACAATGAAACAATGTTGCCAGCTGTGCTTCCTTTGCTATTTAAAAATACCTAGCCAGCTTATGTTTTGTCTTAAAGCAGCTCATACATTGTCTTAATGAATTCTGTATCTCTGATTGCAAAAACCACATTTTAAACCTGTTAGATTTCTGAAAGTCCTGCTTGTTTTGTTATCTGTTACGCAACCCTTCTATGGGTAATTACACTTTTCCTGATACCTATAATGATTTCTCAATGCTTCTGTATTATTCCCCATTGTCCTCATCTTCTCACCCATTCAGAATCTCACAAAATCATAGAATCATAGAATAGTAGAGATGGAAGGGGCCATGAAGGCCAGCAGGTTCAATCCCTTGCTGTTGCAGGACACCAAGTCACACCATCCCACTCAGGTGGCTGTCCAGTTTCTTCCCTAGTGGGAGAACTCTCCACCTCTCCAGGCAGCTGGTTCCACTGTCATATTGCTCTGACAGTGAAGAAGCTTC